GACTAAAGATTAATGAGTCTCGATGAAAACAACCAGGAGAAAAATTGAATGCATATGAGATTCGATACTGGTTTAGGGCATCCAATGATGAGATTTGGGAGTTTAGAAGTAGTTTCATACTCTTAAGCATCATAATTTTGGAAATCTTTTTGACAGAAGCTACATTCGAGACATTCTAACGGCGTGCCAGTTCAAAAGCATTTGCATTATTGATATTTGAAGACGCCTACTCTTTTGTTCTTTTACTGTTTCCAGTTAAAAGTTTGCCATTTAGTTGCCTAAAATTCTCTGTATTTATATAAATAAAGAGATGTCTTTCCTTGTTCGTTTCCATCTTGTAAACATCTTATTTTGAAAGGTTAAAACATATAGCTTAACTTGAAGTACATGAGATCATTTTGTATTATTGTGTAAAAGGTTTCGGAAAATGCAGGTATTCTGAAGCTGATGATGGTTTTAACATGTAAGCTTGTGTGGTTACGGGAAAGTGAAATCTTGAAGTTCGTAGAAAATTTCAGCCATTAAAAGATGACCCTAAGAGATTGTTGTTTGTCGAGAGGTTGGTCATGGGTACTGACGGGTTTCAAGAAAGAAATAAGTCAATGTACTGTTAAGCCGAGAGATATGGAATTGAGATTGTTAACTGGGGTGAACTGGTCAAACGTTCTGTGCCCAAGATGAAGCCGAGTTCCATCGAGATCAAAAGGAGATAGAGTTCCTTCAAAGAAGAAAGTGCATCAAATTGCATATTTGCATACATTTAGGCATGAATAGGATCATGGCACTCATAATTGCATGACGACTTAAGCATTTGCAGGTTTCCCAATGATAGTTGAAGATTGAAGATATTGAAGCATCGAGATGAAGATATTTGGTTTGGAGATTTTGAAAAGAATGATGTTTATATGAAAACTGAGCTAAAGCAGATTCAAATATCCAATGGCTCCAGACAAGTTTTCACGATGGAGATGGATTTTCAAAAATTTTCTCAACTTCTAAATTTTTTAGTATAATATTTTTCAAATATACATTCATGATGAATAATGTTTGATTTTCAGGTTTGACCTTTGAAGCAAATCATCTATAAGCCTTCACGAAAGAGTAGTGAAGCAAATTAGTTCGTTGAAGATTGAGTCCTATAATCTCTGAAGGAATAGGGAGCGGACAAGTTCGTTGAAGATTGAGTCCTATACTCTCTGAATGAATAGGGAGCGGACAAGTTCGTGAAGATTGAGTCCTATACTCTCTGAATGAATAGGGAGCGGACAAGTTCGTTGAAGATTGAGTCCTATACTCTCTGAATGAATAGGGAGCGGACAAGTTTGTTGAAGATTGAGTCCTATACTCCCTGAAAGAATAGGGAGCGGACAAGTTCGTTGAAGATTGAGTCCTATACTCTCTGAATGAATAGGGAGCGGACAAGTTTATTGAAGAACGAGTTCTATACTCCCTGAACGGATAGGGAGCGGACCCGTTTTATGAAGATTGTTCGAGTTCTATACTCCCTGAACGGATAGGGAGCGGACCCGTTTTATGAAGATTGTTCGAGTTCTATACTCTCTGAAGGAATAGAGAGCGGACCCGTTTTGTTGAAGATTGTTCGAGTTCTATACTCCCTGAACGGATAGGGAGCGGACCCGTTTTATGAAGATTGTTCGAGTTCTATACTCCCTGAACGGATAGGTAGCGGACCCGTTTTATGAAGATTGTTCGAGTCTTATACTTCTTGAAGGAATGGGGAGCAGGCTCGTCATTTGAAGATTTTTCAAGTTTTATTTATCCTGACGCAACATTCTCAGGACCAGACAAATTTGATCATCTTTTGATCTTTGCTCTATTCTCGTTACACGACAATGTGCAAAGAGGGGCAGCTGTAGATGCTTAATTTGTCTAGGCCTATATCATGGGCAAATGAAAGTAGTTTTTGGGAGTTGAAAACCAAAAAAACGTGGAGGGGAGGTCAGTTTTTTTTTTAACTACTGGAAACCATCAGAAATGAGATAGTTCACGTAGACACAAAACAGAAAAAGAGAAGATCAGAGAAAACGGAGAGCAAAAGAATGGAAGACCTTCATTTTTGTTGATTTTTGACAGAAAATAGAAAAAAAACAGAAAGAACATTGTACTGAAATTGACTTCTATTTTGGAGATCAAAGGAAACAGAATTTACTGGTTTCAACGAACCAAAGCAATTCAAAGCAAATTCCTTCAAGGTTCATTTTCTTTATCATTATGTACATTAGCATTTCCTTTGCCAAATTTGCAATTTTTATTTTTTTCTTTTCTTTTCTTTTTCCAAATAAATCAGTAAATAAATTACATTTTATATGTCTAAAAAGTTCCATAGGAATCTTAGCTTTAGGTTTTCATTCGAAATAAACAATAAGGAAATAGGATAGAGATTTACCTGGACTGTTTGAATGCAAATAAGGGCATACTGACTCCATTTTCTTCTTCTTCTTTAATTCGTGTTCTAATATCAAAAGAAGGATAAGATTAGGCTTTGTAAAATTTTCGAAACAAAACCCTAATAATAAGAGAAAGGGTCTAGATAGTTTACCTCGCAATGCGTCGTTGTTTGGTGTTGAACTTGTTGGCCTTAGAAGCTTGAGTGTCCGAGAGGCTTTAAAATGGTGATAATAAGAAAGTTTGGGGTCGATTTAAGTTTGTTTCTGGGTTATACAACAATCGAAAGTGACGATCGGGGTATTTGATTTTGGGTATCGTAGCCAGTCGTGTATGGTGCTTCAAGGAGATGAGTGACGCTGTTGTTGGTTAGAGGTTTAGTCTGGGTTTCGTCGGACCACGGTGGCCGAGGCTTTATGTGAGCAGGGGAAGGGGTTCTATTAGGTTTCTGTCGAGAGAGTGAGGAAGAAGAAGGGGAGAGCGACTGAGTTCTTTGGTTGGTGAGGTTGAGAGAAGAAGTAAATTAGAATCATATGTCAAAACGCCGTCGTTTCAGCTGTTACTTTCCTAGTTTCTATTTCTGACCCAGTATTATGCGTGCATTCCATTTCGGTCCCCAAAATCAGGCATTTCGAGCTTTATTGTTATTTTAATATTGTCTCTAATTTTAAACGTTTTATGTTTTAGTCCAATTCCATATTAGGGTCATTTTTGCACTGTTCTTACATTGGTTATGTAATTTACGGAACTTTTATTTTGGTCCTTGAACGAATCTTTTGCACCTTATTAATTTTGTCTTCATATTTATGAGCGCTTTTCATTTTAGTCCTGAAATGTTTTTATATTTTATTTTTGAAATGTAACTTGTAATTTTGGTTGTTTGACCATTTAGTCACTTAGCATGTTTTTTTAATTTAATAGTTAATTCCTATTTTGCATGCTTAGTTTAATTTTATTTTATTATGGTCCTTCATGGTAAGTTTGAATGTGAAGTCAAGTTATTAATAGTATGTTTTATTGTATATATGGTTTTATTCTAATGTATGTTAATATCGTAAATACATGTTTTTTTTTTAGATTTAGAAGTTTGTTTGAGCGCATGGCATATTTTAATTAGTTTTTGCATGACATTATTTTGCATAATATACATGATAATCTCATTTGCATAACTTGACATATTGCATAATTAGATTAAGGGTAATGCCCTTTTAATTTAAAATTATTGTAAGTGGGCAGTCATAACTGATTTGAGGTCCGCTTTTAATGATTTTAAATTAAAAGTGTATCCCGAAAGTGAAACCAAAAAATTTGATTTGTCACCTAAAATTTGGGAATGAAAGAAAAAGAAATGTTCGTTTATTTAAATATATCGAGAAAAGGTTGTTATATCTTTAAGATCTGGTCTCGATATTTATAAATAATCGAACATTCTTTATCTTTCTAAAATGACTTGGTAATTTTAATTTAATTTATTTGAGTGTTTTTGAATGTTTTAAATTTACATTTTTGTTTTATGGGATCCAAAAATTAAATTAAGTTCGAATTTGTAAAGTTCATTGCAAAAACGTTAATTAATCGACTAAGTACCGATTTAGGGCGTTGTGGAGGTGCTAATCCTTCCCCACACGTAACCGACTCCCGAACTCAGATTTTGATAACGCAGACCTCAATTTGTTGTTTTAATTCAAATTAATTTTTATTTAAAATGACAGCATTTTTGGGTGCCCAATCACACTCTAATCAAAGATTGGTGGCGACTCCTTGAACTGTATTTTTCGATCGTAAAGGAAATCTAAAAATTTTCGAAACGAGAGGTCTTTTAAATCGCATTTGTTTTTAAATTAAAAAGAGATATTTAAAAAATTAATGTGATTTTTAAAATCTCTCACTTTTTCACTTTTAAAAAAAAATCGTTTCGACAGCTTCGATGCCATTATAGTTTGTTGTAGTGCTACATTGTCAATACATGAATGGGGTGTCAAAATAATAGATCAAGGTTTGCTTGGTTGTTTTAAATACTATAATTCAATCATTTAATTGTCCCATCAAAGGTTTGCTCTTGGAGAAGCATAGCTAAGCAATGTCGGTGGTTTTTGTTTCCCCCATGCCGATTGGACGGTTGTCGGTGGTTTTTTGTCTTCGATATATGTATTTTTAAACGAATTGAAAGGGACATTACCTAGGTGGTGGTTCTTCCTCAATTATATTTAGTATTTGGTTAGGAGGATGCTTTGCCAAATGATGCCATTCAACTGTACACTGATATTCTTTAAGATGATGGAAAGGTACAGACGGCCTTTCATGTCTATCATGCTTCCACCAATATTCATGTAAAACTTGAAGATCGTGTAAACTAGCAAGTTGCCTACCGGTGATGTGGCTGAATTTAAGATAGGTGCTGCTAAAGCTGAGGGAAAAGTCAAAAGGCAAGGTGTACATGGATGAATGCAAGATTTTATGTTATGAGCAAACTTATAAAATTTGAACACATATTACCGATAAAAGATATAAAAAATATCTAAAATATACGTGAATTTAAAATTTTCAGGGTCGACCACCCCTATCGGTCCATCCCTGAATGATTGAAAGTGTAGCTGCAAACCCAGAATAAGCAAGATGACCAGGCACGTTTTAGGAATTAAATAGGTACTAGAATTCAAGAAATCTTGCTACGGACACAATACTCACCACTACGACATAACTTCATACTTCAAGTTGAGAATAAACACGATATTGATGGATATTTCAATTAGGAAAATATCTTGCCTGATGGGAAAAGATTGGACTAACTAACATTTCACTTCACAGCCGGAGCAACAGCTTTTAATCATCTTCCCTCTCCGGAGGCAGACCACAAGGCAGAAGCATTTTCTGCACAATCAATATCAGAAGCAATTATACCTTGAACCTCATTTACCCATTCAATATATTAAACTTTAGTTTGTCGTATAAATCAAGACTCATTGTTACAACTAACATAGACTGACCAGAAGACGACCAATACCGTAAAAAGAGAATGATTACCCAAATATTTTGATAAAAATAAACAGGTGGATACCATTTTGAAAAGCAATTAGTAGGTACAAAATGTATCCAAGAGTAAATACAAAGAAAACATCTAAAATATATAGGAATTTGAAATTTTCAGGAGGGTGCCCCCCTTGGTCTCATCCATGGCATAAGATAACACAGCTCAAATATTTGTTAGAAAATCTAGGGCAAAGTGGCACCAATTTGCATTACAAAAATGTGTAGTTTCCTCTTAAGTATACCTCAAAAGGCAGAAAAAGAACATCACCAAGTTCCCCACTCGACGAAACACAAAAACGAAACATATCCCAACTATTGGCAATGGACAACATTAATCAAGTCCTATATTTTGTTCCATGTAAGGCAAGCTTTAAACTCTTTTCAAGTAGTAAAAGCAATTGGTCTTGTGGAATACAAAGCAAACCATTATGAAACCCAACAAAAGCTTAGAGAAATCCCAAGAAACATTGGGTAAACCCATAAATCCAAATTCCATAAAATTATAATCCCATAAATCCAAATTCCATAAAATTATAAACCCATAAAATTCAGTCCAAATGTCACAGATACACAAACAAACGCCAGGCGGAAAGAAACATGAATATCATAAATCCAAAAACACGAAACTTAAGAAAAAAAAATGGCTTACCTGCATGAAGTTGTAGCGCTCTCTTCCAATGGATTCATTTTCAGCCACGGAAAAGTAAGCCAACATTGGGTAATGCCCTATATATGACGCGTAGCTATCTCGTTGAATGTTCACCGCCCATTCACTGTCATCAATAGAACCAAGGGAAAAAACATATATTATCAGCAAAAAATATTTTGTTCATTTAACAAAAGAGAATAAAAAAAGGATTAACAGACAATCTGCTAAGATCAGCATGGCCAGTTCCAACGTATTTGGCTTGGAGATGTTCGAGTTGGGAATTGATGTTAAACCTATCGCTTGCCTGACAACATTAATTAAAGAGTGAGGGACAAAAATAAAACCAAATTTACGGTTTAGGTGTTTGAGAATTAAAATTTGGTGTAATTTTTAAATTTAATCAATAAAGGGTTAGGGTTTTGATAGGGGAGACTTTACCTGCATCTTCTTTCTCGAAGCTCTTGAGAAAAATATAAGGAGCACGATAAAAATTCATCTTTATGTCCTGTGTGTGTACATATATATAAATGTACACCCACACCTCTATCTTAAGGGAAAGTCTTATTTATTTATTTTCACTCCAACTGTTATTTCTTCTAAAAATATCTCCCAATCAATCCTTTGTTGAATAATGAAGGTTCTAGTGGCGGATGTAGTCTTTGTTCAGGGTGAATATTGAAATTTAAATTTTTTATATTAGTAATTTATTTTATTGAGGATGTCTATCTTGAAATTTTATTTATGTTTGGGATACAAAAAATTTATGTTAATAATATAGGAGTGCCCATCCTAAAAAATATTCATGGATCCGCCACGGTTCTATATATATTTTAAATTAAAATTAAAAACTAATTGATTGATTAAACCAAATATCATAATGAATAAAGTTTTACTCCCAAAATCATTAGGGTAAAATTATTTGTCCTTGGTTCTAAAACTCTTCTAAACCTCAATATTAATATAATTCACTTATTTACATATAATCTTTAATCAATCACGTATCATTATAATATAATAACATGTGTCACTAACAGAACTTGTATTAAGTGATCAAAATGAAAATCAAATATAAATTGGGTAATATTTTGTAAATTTTTTAAACTTGGAATGGAAATCAGATATAACTTCCATAATCATTTCGTTACTTTTTAAATCTGAATGAACAAAATAAAAATTTATGATGATTGGATGTCCAACCATGTTTTATTAATAGGTAACGATATATAAAACAAAATGATGAAGATGTAGAAGTATGCATAGAAGGACACGTTCTCCCCTCAAAGGATTGTTTCAAGTACCCTAGGGTCTATGATACATAAAGATGGGGGTGTAGATGATGACGTTACACACCGTATAAAGGCGGGATGGCTAAAGTGGAGGGCCGCTACTGGAGTTCTGTGTGACAAGAAGGTCCCTCTAAAACTTAAGGGAAAATTTTATAGAATGGCAATAAGACCAGCGCTGTTGTATGGATCAGAATGTTGGGCAACCAAGAAGGATCACGTGAGGAGGATTGAGGCCGCAGAAATGAGAATGCTTCGATGGACATGTGGTAGGACTCTGAGGGATATGACGACAAACTCTGCTATTAGGATGTCCTTGGGGGTGGTGTCTGTTTCCGAAAAATTGAGGGAGGGAAGACTACGGTGGTTTGGGCATGTCCTTAGGCGACTACCGTCGGATGCGGTAAGGAGGGTAGAGTCGATTACAGTCGACGGTGCCAGAAGGAAAGGACGACCAAGGCGAAAGTGGGAAGACTGCTTGAGATCTGATTTGAGGGATTTAGCCCTTACCGAAGACATGACCTCTGATAGGAAAATATGGAGGCTAAAGACTAGGGTAGTCGAGTAGTGTGGGTCACATCTATAGGGTGTATCATCTCTGTCTTCTTTTAATGTCTTTGTAGTATTTTCCATGACTTATACTTTTAATACGTTTCTGTTATTGGTATTTATGAAGGATTAGAACTGGGCTTGCTAACGTTGACTTCTGTGTATCATTCTCTTCATGTTTCCTCTTTTAAATTAGCCGGATCTTATGTTTCTGTCTATATGCAGAGATTCTTTCGCAGGGATTATTATGCAGGGATAAATTCCAGTTACAGACGCACATATGATTTTAATGACTGCATATGAATACTGATTAGCTATGTATTTATGTATTTATTTATACATGCATTGCATTTTATCTAAATTTTTAATTTTCTGACTGCCAGAAGTCTTCCACGGAAGCTACTCTCAACCTGGCGTTGGGGGTAGCCTACTACCCTACCTCCCCCTTACCCCATACATATGGGAATTGGGTTTTGTTGTTGTTGTTGTTGATATATAAAACAAAAACAGAAGAAGATATCTTTTGTAATCATTTTATTATTGAAGAATCAAAATCATTTGGCCTGCTTAATGTCGATGCATCTATTTATAATATTAAAGACTATATACAGAATGTTATATATAAGCATAGAAGGGTAATGAGAGAGAGAGAGAGAGAGAGGAGAGCAGAGAAGACATACACATTCAGTCGGCTCCCGTGGCTAAACTACATACATGTGAACATTACGTCACTTTCGCAAATTATGCCGTATACGACGATCAATATAAATGACACTTTCAATCTCTCTCGTACACAATGTACAACATCACATTTCCCTACCTCATCATGAACGGATAATGGACAAATGTTAATGATTTCCATTTTCAACACCATATACACAACTAATTGCCCTGCAATAATAACCATGTTTGTTTCCATTCTCCTCAAATGAAAGCCAAAAATAACAATAAAAACCAACATCGGATCATTTCTTGTCGGTCGTTACGCCAACCACCACATTGCTCACCTGCAATATCATGAGTTTCTGTCAGGCATCCCTCTTTCTTCCCCAACCATGTTGCAACTTTCTATACAATAAAAATTCATGACATTCAAGCAAACACAAAGTAGATATATGCAGTTACACTAATATTTACCAATTTGCCACTCTCATCGACAGACGTGGGATTCTCAATGACGACTGTTTGGCTCTGAGAAGAGGCATTGGTCAAAAGGTTAGATTCAGGTAGCAGTCAATAACTCGAAACCATCTACATTTTAAAGGAAAAGAAAGCTTCAATAACTTACTGCAAAAGTAGATGGTTTAGTCCCTGTAGCATTCGTCCTGCTTGCTGGAAGCGAAACCCTTACATTGCCCATCTGAAACATAGATGACAAATACAGTGAGCAGGTAAACCAAAAAATAGAGGTTCTCTAGACATAAATGTATATACACTGTCTCACACAACGCAATTCACTTTCAAAAATATTATCGCATGGACATAAATAGGTACTCGTCTTTCTAATTAAATACAATGCAATTCACTTTCAAAAAGGGAAATCATACAAAAAAAAAGGCTTACAAGAATCAACATGAAAAATTAGACAAAGAGAAGTCATTTTTTTTATAAGATTTGAAGGCCTCATTAAAAACCTCCTTTAGGATTAATGGAGCTTGTATAGAAGCTCCTTAATCAATGGAAGGAGGAAAAGAGTGCCTTATATTTCATTAGAAAATAACAATTAAAACCATGGAAAATAAATCCAAATAACCCTTACAACAATAAGCAAACCCCAACCTAACAGGAACCAAAAACCAATCTGAAAATACCACCAACATAAAAATCATCCTAAACCAGCCTTTGCTAAAGCATCAACAACCATGTTAGATGTTAGCTGTCCTTGCAACCCATCTAACAACCCCCCAAAATTCTAAGACTATCAACTATGTCTGTAACAATAAAACCATATACAACTGGACATGAATCAACATCATTGATCCAGTCTACTGCAACCCTGCTATCACTCTCAACAATCAGCCTATCTTTGAACCTCCCTTGAAAAGAGGCAAAGAAAGAAATGCCCCTTTTAATAGCTTTAAGTTCCTTCAAAGTCGGAGGTCCCGAACCAGCAGGCTCCTGAAAAGAACCTAGGATTACACCAGAATGATCCCTCAAAAGACCTCCAAGACCTGATTTCTTCCAATCACTACTAATGGCTGCATCCACATTCAATTTAATGAAACTCATGGGGGGAGGTGACCAAGGGATTGTAGAAGACTTTACGAAATTATAGGTCGAATAAGAATCCCCTAAAGAATGATAAAAAATCAACGAGTCCTTAGGGATAGAAATATCCTTATGCTTAGCTAGGAACCAAGAAGCAAGCCTAACTCTTGTTAAGAAAAACAACTTTGTCAGATCAAGCTTCCCTCCTTCAAAAACAATAGAATTTTGGTTTTCCAAATGGTCCAAATAACAGCCCCAGGAATGAAAGTCCAAATCGCAGAATTAGATTTCAACTCGTCCCACGCTAGAAGAAAGATTTTTGCATCTGCAGAAAAAACAGAATTGAACCTCCATAATTTTAGAAATTTGTTCCATATAGACCACGACACCGAACAATTAAAGAATAAATGTGAGGAAGTTTCTTCAACCATTCTGCAAAGAGGGCATAGAACATCCTCAATACCTTGAACACCTCTTTTAACAAATTCTGATTTAACAACTAATTTATGGAGCACAACTTGCCACAATAAAGTTTCAGCTCTAGGGGGAACCAATCCTCTCCAAACGATATTATTCCAGAAATGAGCAGCTTCTGAACCTGATGTACACCTCTTGACACAAGAACTTACTGTAAAAACACCATCCCCACTGCCTTTCCAAATCAACCCATCACTGGAATCATTAGACAGAGAAAAAGAAGAAATTATGCTCACCAGATTACACCATTGTTCAAGCTCCCAATCATTTAAGTTTCTTCTTACTTGGACATCCCAAATCCAACCCGATGAGAGAAATTCTCCAAACTCACAAAGCTTACCATATTTATTAGTAGAAAGGCAAAACAGTCTAGGGAACAAAATCTGGAACGGATAATCAGCAGCCCAACTATCCTGCCAAAATCTAATATTCTTACCATTTCCAACATGAAAGCTGCACAAACTACGAAACTTAGAACCAAAGGAGTCTTGCTTGTAATAGTCGTTAACCACTGTTCTCCATAACCAGGAAGATTTAGGTGGAACCTTGCTATCAAACAGTAATCTTGTTGAATCAATGTTGTATTTGTTGCATATAAATTCCCTCCAAACAGAACTTCTCTCATTTGCGAACCTCCAAGATCATTTCCCTATCAGTGCTCTATTCATACTCAACAGATTTCGGACTCCCAAGCCTCCCTCATTCTTTGGTCTGCAAACATCATCCCATTTAACCCAGTGTATCTTCTTAATACCAATTCTCCCTCCCCATAAAAAATTAGACATAATTGAGTTAAGAGACTTTAGGATTGAAGCTGTAATCTTGAACATAGACAAATAATACGTTGGTAGAGAGGATAGAACCGATTTGATTAAAACCAGTCTGCCTGCTAATGACAGAGTAGCAGCCTTCCAACCGACTAATTTAGAGTGAAAATTCTGCACCACTGGTTCCCAAATGACTAAGGAGTTCTTAGGAGCACCTAGTGGGAGACCTAGATAGTTAGAGGGGAAGTTTCCAACCGTACAACCAATAGAGTCTGCCCAAGTCTTAACCTCCTATTGGGAAATGTTAAGCCCGAACAATATGCTTTTCTTCAGGTTTAATTGCAGCCCTGACATAACCTCAAATACCCTAAGCACCATCTTCACATTCATAATTTGCGTCTTTGAAGCTCCACAAAAAATAATTAGGTCATCCGCAAACTGCAAGTGTGTAAGATTAAAGGAACCTTCCCCCTTGCCAACAGTCATACCAGCAAATAATCCCTCCGAGACAACCCTTCGGATTAACACATTCAACAATTCCCCAACTAGATTAAATAACAAAGGTGAGAGTGAACATCCCTATCTAAGACCCTTGGCCATTGGAAACTCCTCGGATGGAACCCCATTTACTAACACTGAAATCTAAGCTGTAGAAACACATCTCTTGATCCAACTTATCCAAGTAGAACTGAAACCCATCTTTTCCATCACCTTGAACAAAATAGGCCAGTCTACCGTATCATAAGCCTTTTTGAAATCAACTTTAAACACATAACCCTTAAGCCCTTTCTTCCTCCAATAATCAATACCATCGTTAGCAATGAGAGAGCAATCCAAAATTTGTTGTCCGGGAACAAAAACAAATTGTGTCGGGCTGATTATATCTCCTATACAACTTCTGAGCCTCCTGGAAAGACACTTAGATAAAATCTTATAAACTCCTCCTACTAGACTTATAGGTCTATAATCATCAAGGCTTCCAATGTTAGATCCCTTAGGAATAAGGGTGATAAAAGTGTGGTTAATGTCATGCTCCCAATCTTTCCCCACATAGAATCTGTGAAAAAACTGCATAATATTTTCCTTAAGAACTGTCCAAAATCTTTTAAAAAATCCCAAGTTCAATCCGTCGGGCCCCAGAGCTTTATTACTATAGCAAGACTTTAGAGTCTCCCAAACCTCCTCCTCGGAAAACTCCTTCTCTAAAAGAATACTTTGTTCGGGGGAAATTCTAGAAAAAGCCAATCCAATTTCTTCTATTCCAAAGTAGTTCGATCATTGAAAATTTTGAAAAAATGGTCTTTCACAGTGACCTTGATAACTGCTGGATCATGAGTAATATTCCCTTCAACTTCTAAAGCATTCAACGCATTTCGTTTTCTTCTAACTGAAGCACAAGTATGAAAAAATCTTGTGTTTCGATCCCATCCACTTCTTTCTAGAATTTTGGTACCAAATCTGCTCCTCAATTCTATGAAGTCTCCATAGTTATGATTTACACACCCTTATCTCCTCTACAATCCCCTGAACCGAAACATCATTCAACTGTTGGGCCTCCTCCTCTAGCTTTTGAATTTTCTTTTCTAAATCTGAGATTTCTGCTCCCGGAAACTGGTTTTTCTTCCCTGTCCATTTTTTGATGGCTGCTTTTGAGTTCTTGAAAACACTTAGTATTCTAGCTTTTCTCCCAAGCATTTTACAGTCTGTGGTAGTATGTCTGACCATTTCCTTAAAACCATCTTCCTCCATCAAATAGTTAAACAATCTAAAAGGCTTTTTTCCCCAATCAACTCCTCCATCTTGTAACAAAATAGCATTGTGGTCTGAAATGGATTTAGGGATGAGTGACTGAGTTATCTCAGGAAAAGTAGCCAAAAACTGCCCATCCACCAAGAACCTATCCAATCTAACAAATGTTGGATCATCTTAGTTATTACACCAAGTGAACCTGCCCCCATTCAAAGGCAGATTAATTAAACATGAAGACTGAATAAACTGAGAGAAAATCCTCATTGAGAATCTGTTTTGAGCTCTGCCCACCTTCTCATCCTCACACAAGTACACATTAAAATCCCCTCCAACACAAACCGGCAGATTCTGTCCAGAAATAAACACACTAAGTTCTTCAAAAAAACTTTCTTTTTCTTCCTCCACTTAAGGCCCATAAACATTTATGAGCACACTTTTGAATTGGTTCGATCTGAATTTCCCCACAACAACAATAAATCTTTTGTTAATGCTATTGACTTTCCATCTCAAACACATTGTCATCCCAACAACATAGTAATCCCCTTGAAGAACCAATAGCTGGAGATTCAATAACACCCTGAAAAATATTCAACCCATTCCTTCTAAAAAAATGACCTTTGTATCTTCTCTGCTTTAGTTTCTTGTAGCCAAAGAAAAGAAGGATATGTGCTAGAAACTAATCTCTGAACTGCTTTTTGTTTTTCTCTTTTTCCCAATCCCCTTACATTCCATGAAATTATTGCTAATTTGTTCTTCATGAATAATAATTGAAAAACCTGACTTCCCTCCTATGGCAACTCAATTGTCCATATTCAAGCCTTTCTCTAATTTAATTATTCTTTCCAGAAAAGCCTCCTTCCCCTGTGTAAAAGAAACCCCCAGAATCTGACTAACTTGCCGTGTAGCTAATGCTTCATCCAAAAGCTCCGAAAAACCTGAAGAAGATGTTGTACAGATGCTAACATGATCTAAAGCTTCCCTTACCAATAATCTTTTTACCCTTCTCTTGCAGCTACCAGAATTGGATTTTGACAAATGTCTATCCACAACACAGCCCTCTGGCTGTCCATCAAAACTTCTAACATCAGCTTTACCAGCTAATTTTGTCTCCTCACTGCCTTGTACATTAAACTCTGATGGTTGAAAAATCTGTTGAGCTGACTTGCAGGACAGATCATTAACCTTCTTTGGATCTAGGCCATCCTTTGTATCACTAGTTCCCTTTTGTTCCTCCTCATGCCAATATCTTGAATATATGAGAAATAAATATCCCAATCCGTTAAACAGTGGAGTTGGCATGGGTGCCAACAAAAACTTCCCAATCCATTCCGAACATACCAAAAATGACTCAACACGTAACCTTACCCAATATCTGTTTCAAGAGAGGGAACTGATTCTAACTGATTTTGGTCCGAATCAACCAATAACTACGCTGGGGAAAGTAAGACCAAGTTTGAGAGAGATTGCCACCAAGTTGAATTAAAGAAGACCCATAAACAAGAAAACATAAGAAGTTCGCAACAACCGCATGCAAACCAAATAAATGTACATACATTCAGAAATAGACCAAATATATTCAGAGATATTGTGATGAATATAAAGATTTGGAGATTAAAAAGCTGACCTTGTATCAGAAAACGTGCAATAACATATGAACTGAAAAAATGACAACTATTAAGCAATTTATAAATTAATGTGGCCCTCTTTTAGCCTCTCAGAAATGCAATTAAATCCTAAATCTCTGCAAATTCTTAGAAAAATGTTCAATTACATACACACTAATGAAAAATTGTGCCAATTCAATCATAAACTTACGCCAACATTAGTAACATATTGACAGACAGCACATTTGACTGATGGAGCTCCATACGGATACATTAGTGTTGTATGGCAGTGCCCACAGTTGATATGAGATATCTGGTTGGATGATGCTTTTTCCATGGTAATGAGATCCAAGAAAAGATAAGGCAAAAAAGGGTCAGTAAACAAGCTGGAGACCATGAAATTGAAAGGGAAGAAAAAATGAATTAACATTTAGTACAAACTACTGCCAAGCAGCCTGGAAATGCACTGATAAAAGGTTGAATGAGGAACCAAAGAAGAAAATACACTACATGGTTCATACTCCATCCCAAAGTTCATAGAAGATATACAACTTCTGGTACGCTAACATTCTTTTGAAATAAAAATTCCACTTTGAGAAAAAAAGAGAACCAAAGTCCAAAGTGATCAGGCTGCTTTCTATGAAGAAGCATACTAAGATCATCTATTTACCAAAACAGCTCAAATGCCACAAAGCAAGCCTAAACGTGCATGCAACATGAAAAAAAAACCCCAAAGCCACAGAAAACTGCAGTGGCATGCTAAAAAAAGTATGCATAATTTGAATAGGACAGCCAATAATCCAGATGCCAGACAGTTTGGAAACATTTTAAGATCATTAACTACTCAAAGTAATCAGATTGCAAGTAAAAGAAAATAATAATATAAAATGGTGAAAAAAAAATCCATGTGGAACACATTGTGACACAAAATACAGGATGGGGAAGCGCTAATCAGAGAACAGAAAAGCTCCCATTTTCTCCAAAAAAAAAAAAAACTGTACACATTCTTAAACCTGCTTACTTTGCCTAAAAAGTAAAAGGATCAACCCACAAGCATTAAACTTTCATCAAAGTACAAAAATGACTTTCCATTTAATAGCAACAATCTTGCACTTCCAAACATTATAACCACAAATTTAAATCATTTACACAAACCAGTATATTGTACCTGTTGCAAAGTTAACAGTGTTACAGCAAGAGCATCTTACACTTGTTGCTCCACGTGTATACATTAGCAATGTTCGACACCCCCCACATATGAGTTGAGCCATTTCCAGCCCTGCAGGGTTTATTTAAAAACTTGGATTAGCAAGCCATAAGATTCCTATCAGATATTGAATTTATTATGTTTACATATCCAGATAAGAGGAATGTTACTGGCCACTCTACATTATTGTTTTCTTTGCCTTAAATTAATCTCTTATTTCAGTAGAAAATTTTATATAACACCACAACTGTTAATAGCATTACCAGATAGTCTCATAGTATAAATCAATCGAGGTAACCAAATGAAAAAAAATAAAAAAACACGTTCAAAAGTAAAATACAGTAGCACTGCAATCAGACATCTGTTAAAATGACCAGGAAAAAACAGTGCCAAGAGTACCACCATACTAGTTGGCAGATTATCACCCTGTAATTAAAGAATGCCATCATTAATCTTACAAAGTTTTTCTTAAAAAGAACCGTTAGATATTATGGTCCAAAATTCAGTTGCACGTTGATGTCTACGTTCCAGAAGAAAGAAAGTTAATATTGCCAAAATGCCCAAAAGTTGTGGGTAACAACCATTAGGTGGGTGGTCTATAATCAAACCAAGTTGAATGGTATGTCTGAGCAACTTGCCAAGATGGAGTTATGCTTCCAACAGATCCAATGGTTTATGGTTTTGGGACCATAAAACAATTTGTGGTTTGCTTGGGGGTGCCCATGCATTCCAAAATACAAAACCAAGTTCACATAAAGCAGCAGTTATGGAAGAAATAAACTCTACAATGAATGGACTTATGTCCAACTAAAACTATTTTCAACAATTACCCAAGAACATAATATTTATACCTCAAAAACAAATAGCCGTATGTTCTCACTGACAAGCAGTAACAAGTTAGATTTTACAATGTTTTGTTATCAAGTTGAATTGAATTTGGTGGAATCTATGCTTCACTCCAAAAGTTAAAAGGTCAGATTACTGAACAATACTAAATAGAGGTATATATTGCATGTTAGCTTGTACGATGTTTTATTGGGATTGAAATTCTTAACGAGTTAGCAGCTTGGGCACCAAATCTGCCCAAATCCAATCACAGCTATTAGACCTTTAGCAAAGAGAAACCCATAGTTTCTTTTGGGTACTTTCCAAAATGCTTCTATAAAGCAAAAGAAAATAGTTAAAAGCCAAATCATAATTGACTAAAAATGAACAAAGGACTAAAATGTATAACCAATCTAACATTTTAGTCGGTATAAATGTAAAATCATTCATTTTGTTATAAAATAATGCGTTGTATTTATTGCTTCAAGAATTTTTTTTTTTGCTTTTCCTTGTTTGGAAGCAAAAACGAAATAACAAAGGTATCAGCCAAAAGATAACTTGCAAATGTTGGCATCCAACAAGGTTAAGTGAAAAGAGAATACAAGTCTTGAAAAATCATGGGATGAATCAAACACCTTGGCAATTCCGCAAATAGGTGATTGTAATCAGGAACCAGACTCTGACAGTTTGTAGGATGTGGTAGAGGAACAAGGTCAGTACCAAGGTATTTTCAGGTTTGACACATACATATCAGTGATATACTAACAAATATATGTCAACTTACAAGTAAGAGAATACATTCTCAAACTGCGAAAAATATAAGAATGATGCTTGTGGCTTACTACATCTGATACATTGCATTCAAGCTAACTTGTATTATAGCTGCTATGTGCAGCTAACGACAAATTAAATCCAATCATAAGGACAAAAAACCCAGCTCCATCATTTGTACCGCTCAAATTAATTCTCATTTCAGCATGCCAGCATTTAGAAATAAAAACAATGACAGATGTTTAGACAAGGGGCAAATTTTCAAATAAGATTCCAGCATAATTATAAATGAGGTCCGGTGGATCTCCATGGTCTTGATAACTGAAGTCCTCATTTAGTTAATGAAGAGGTACACTAGTTTCTAATAGGATCATCCAAGGAGGCAAAGCCTAAATCACTAGGTCAAATATTAAGGGGTGAAAATGAACCCACTAAGCCAAGTATTCTTACATAAGTAGTTCACAATGCCACTCACAGATATAGATAAGCCTGGAAAATCTTACATAGATAGTGCTGGTTCATGAGGAGAGAGGCTGAAAATGACAACAACATGACTGCACGTGCTAATGAGGGAATGAAGGATTTTTTAAATGATTTGCCCATCAAAGGTGGTGCACGAAATTTGAGGGATGATTTGTTCTCGCACATTTCCAGGCAGAAACACAGAGCAAAGGAGGGTAATTATAATAAGTATACCTCTCTCCAAACTGTTCATGTTAAAAAATCTGCTCCTCAAAAGAAGACTTTGCACTGCCGAAACAAGTACAAACAGAAGAAGGTTCTTCGCCCGGTTCTTGCAGAAAGATTCCTTTATGATTTGGAATTTCCAGCATTGGGGCAGAGTCTAAAGAAGGAAGACACAGACTCCTTGCAGTTCGGGAAAGAATTGGGTTTTGAGTCTAATGGCTCAGTAGTGGCTCTGATTTCGGAAGATTACGGCAGTGGAAGTTTTGGAAGGTGACTCGCATATGATCATTGTTTTTGGAGTTGGAGGTTCGGATGGTCTATGTCGACAAGATGAGCATTAAATGGCAGAAAGGAGGAGTTTCGAAGCTTGCTTCTCTGCAACCTTTTCATGTGGAAGCTCTTGGCCTTTGTGGTTGATTTTGGTTCCTATGGATTGAGTTAGCTGTTTTATTTGGCTTCTATTAAAGTTGTTTTGTTTTGTGGTGTCTTTCGGGCCAAACTCAGGTTTTAAGTCTGGTCTGTTTTATTAGTGGCTGTTGTTGTAACTAAGGTGATTTAGGCTGAGTGAATGCTGTTTTTTAGGTTGTTTTCGTTTGTTTCTGGTGCTCTGTGTATGTTGGGGTGGATTATGGTTGCATCTTGTAATGAAATCTTAAGGCACTCTTTTCCTCCTTCTGCTGATTAAGGAGTTTCTCTATAAACTCCTCTAATCAAGACGGGTTTTTTTTAATGAGGCCTTCAATTCCTATCAAAATAATAATAATAATCATGTTCATGTTGAAAATACTGAAAACTAGCAACCGTTCACAACTTGAGAAAACTGATGGTTGATTTTAAATGTTCAATTAATAAGAATGAGAATTGAAGTTTACCAGGGGGAGGGACTTGGGTGATTGTATTACATAATGCACAGCAAACATTTGTAGCCCCTCTAGGATAAAGAAGAATGCTCCTACACCCGCTGCAAACGAGCTGGCTTTGCATATCTGCTGTCACTGTAAAGAACGATGTAAAGGTGCATTTTATAAACCTGATTATACCAATAATAACAATTTACAACCGGTAATGTCATCTTTTAGATTCAATATAAGCATATGATAGTAAAACCTCATCCATTAATACAATCCTGTCGATCTAGATGAAACAACAAGACATCCAGAGGTCAAAATTCATGACATTCAAAAACACCAAAATTGCTAGCCAAAAAAAAATAGAATAGTAATAAAGATGTCTCAAAGGAGGAGCGAGATTCATTTAACAAATAGCATCCAACAGCAACTTAATGAAAGTTCTATCTCAGAGTACAACAGATACACGTCAATATGCATCACAATCACTGTAGAAAAAAACGGGGTTAAAGAGTTTGAAATAACAAAAATATTGAGAAAGAAAAAACATTAGAACAGAAATAGTACTATCGGTGCACAGTCTTTCTCTTTAATCACTTTTTCCCTTAAAGCATTTCTTTCTCTTTTGTCCTTTCAATCATATAGTAGTTAACAACTCAGCAAAAGCAGTACATCATTTCTAAAATCCCTTTATTTTCAGTGAAATCCTAACATGAATTTTATCAAAAACCCGGAGAGGAAGAAATACCCGATTTCCCTTCCTTCAACAAGAAACCAATCCCAATTTCTTGGGGAGCTATCGAAATTAAGGCTCAAAATTTCCTGTCAAACAAATTAAAAACAAAAATTAAAAGTAAGTACGAGGCAAATTAAAAAGATGAAAGATAATAAGAAGTTTAACTTTTACCTTGAAGAAGAAGGCCGAGAAGTTGAATATCAGGAAAAATAAATAAATATTATCAAAAGGATATTTTAAATGCTGCGATTTTACAGATATGATGAGATCCGCGAAAATTAGGAATCTTGCAATTACGTTGACTTGTTTCTTTTCCTTCTTTTTTTTCTCTTTTGGGAGGTTTGGTTGAAGTTTCTTAAGAAAATGTCGTTGGGAATTAGGATTCGGCCGACTTTTTCACCTTTACCCCCCTATTATTTACTTATTTAATTCTCGAAGTTGTCACGAATTTCTTTTTTCTTCTTATTTAAACTAGAGTTTGAGAGTTTTAAGTTTTAAATTTTGAGTTTTGATTTTATGAATCATTTTAATTTAAAGTTATAAAATTTTAATTATTTGTTAATAATATTTTTATTTTTATTATTAATATAATAATTATTATTTTTAAAAATATAAGATGATTACAAGATAGACTATTTAAAATTATTCTTAGTCAGGACAACACACATAGTCAGAGACATAACTACTTCAATTTGGGATCTTTAAGAAAAATTCTATAATAATTATTTTATATACTTATTATAAATATTATAAAAAGCTATTATTTTATATTTTAAATAAAAATATTCCGATAACTGTTTATATATAACAGTTAATATGAACGGTAATAAACTAAAAATAATCCATGCATAATTACATATGTATTAATTGAACAACCAATTTAAATTAAATAATTGAAGATGAAAAAATACTTCTCTATAGTGAGAGTTAAAATTTTTAAATTTTATGATTAAATAAAAAGCATTCTTTCAATTATGATTTTAAGGTCAAAAATTAAGTATTTAATATTATATATAAATAAATAAAAATATTTTTCTCAACCCAAAAATATTGCCAAACACACTCTTAATAATCCTTGGATATAGTCATAGACATCACCATCTTTTTCTTGGGTCTTCGACCATTAAAATGAGGATGGCCTGGTATTTAGGCCATCACGAATCTCTTTGACTCATTTCTGCCAATTATCCTTAGTGATGGCAAAAAGAAAAACCAAAATCCACGGATTGAAATTTAATTCGATGATTTGTTTGTTTGTTTTCAATAATTTTTTAATTTATTTATAATATATATCTTATAAATACTACTGTTCAAATCTAACATCTTTATAGATTTAGGTGGCGTTTGGTTCGCTGGAATATTTATGAGGGAATTGGAATCTGTTAAGGAATTAGAATCTGTAAGAATTGGAATCTAATTACATATTCTGTTTGGTTGGCAGGAAATAGAATTGGAATCCAATTTCATATTCTGTTTGATTCGGAGACATGTCAGATGAATTTGATTTCAGTAATGTAAAACAACAGAATTACCCTTCTTATTTTTTTGCTTTATTTTAGTTTATTTTACAACTTACATGTAGTAATATATTATAAAAAATTAAAAAATATTAAATTTTTATTTTATTGATTGATTATTCATTTCAATAAATTATAAAAAATCATGCTAATAAACATTATAAGTTAAAATCATCGCAATCAAAATAGGTTAATAAGTTACCAAAAGATAGAGTAATATTTTGATACATTCCAATCGGAGTATGTTAATTAATTACCAAAAAATATACCAAAAACTATTTTTATTCAATATATGAATTAAAAACTCAACCCGATACGACTTAAAATAATAATAAAATTATTTTTATTCAATAAAAATATTGACTTAATTGAAAAAAATTATATATAGAGGGGTATTATTGTAATTATTCCTAAATATATAAGGTAAAATTATATTTTTTTTAGGTTGGTCTAGTTTTTTTCACTCTACACCCGAACCCGACCCGACCTGACCCGAATATCACACTTAAAAAAACCCGACCCGACTCGACCCGAATATCACACTTAAAAAACCCGACCCGACCCGAACAAAATAAAGTTTCATCCGACCCGACCCTATGAATTAGAAATCCGACCCGACTCGACCCAAAATAATAAAAAATTATTTTTATTTAATAAAAACAGTGACTTAATCTGACCCGGTCCGAATTATATATATTTTTGGGTCGGTACGGTTTTTTTCATCCTAAACCCAAACCCGACCCGAATATCACACTTAAAAAAACCCGATCCGACCCGAATATCACACTTAAAAAACCCGACCCGACCCGAACAAAATAAAGTTTCATCCGACCCGAATATATGAATTAGAAATCCGAACCGACCCAAAATAATAAAAAAATATTTTTATTTAATAAAAACAGTGACTTAATCTGACCCGACCCGAATTATATATATTTTCGGGTCGGTCTGTTTTTTTAACCCTAAACCTAAACCCGACCCGACCCAAATATCACACTTAAAAAATCCGATCCGACCCGACCAAAATAAAGTTTCACCCGAACCGACCCGAATATATGAATTAGAAACCCGACCCGGAATAATAAAAAATATTTTTATTCAATATATGAATAAGTTACCAAATGATTGATGAAGGTAGTATGATCAAATTTCAATTTCCTCCAACAAGGGAATTGAATTCCATCAGGGATTCCAATTCCCTTGAAAAACTTGAACCAAACATGGAAAAGTGGTGAAATTGGATTCCAATTCCAAGGGATTTTATCCAACCAAACGCCACCTTACAGTAAATAATATTCATAAGATGGCTTGCGATGGAGTTTTGGTGTCAACGCAGTAGTTCTTCTATTCTGGTGGATGAATCCACGCTTGCAGGTTTGACCTATCATTAAATTTGGTTTGGCTACAAGATGGTTATCTATCTGTTTTTTTTTTGGAGCCTTGCAGCGGCATAGTCTCTATCGATGGATGAAAGCGTGTTTGCTGCTGCATTTGATTACCGATGTTCTCTCCTCATTTATTGTTTGGGTGTTGATCAGCTAGGTTTCTTCTAGGCCAGGCCAGGGCTAGGGTTTTGGTTTATTCTTATTGTATCCTATGTTTTCAGCCTTTAGGCCATTTCTTTTTGTACTTGCTTTTCTTTGTTGAGGAAAGTTTTTAATAAACAAAAAAAGTATGGATTATGTAATATTTGTATTGTTGAGTTAATCGATTGACGAATATGGTCAAGAGGGGGTGAATTGGCAATTAAAATTTTGGTAGAAGCTTTTGCAGAAAATTGAAAGAAATTTGCACAGCGATTTAGAGTGGTTCGACTTTCTCAACCAAAGTCTACGTCCACTACCTTAGCTATCCACACTAAGGATTTTTCACAAATTCACTAATTTTTCTTTCTTTTGAGGAAAAATAGTAACCTTACAAACCCTCAAGAATTATACCCCAAATTCTTGAGAACACTCTCTCCCAAAGAGAACAATACAAATTTGTAAACTTACAAGGAAATCCTCACAAGGTAGATTGTTTGCACAATTCTAGAACAAAGAAAAGAACACTCAAGAATGAATACAATTGAGCACAATAAGTGTTCTTTAAAGCAAAATGAATATTGAATGAAAAATATGCTTGAAATGCTCAAACTTGAGGTTTGATGCTTTCTCTTTGATTCTCTCTTGATTCTAGGTGCTTGATGTTTCTTGTTGTTGATCAATGGCTTCTAAGCTTGCTTAAATACACCTTGAATCACTTCTGAACGTTGGGGATCATTAATAAAGTTTTTGGAGCCGTTTAAGTGTGAAAAAAATTAATATTTCTGCTTGGAGCGTGGGGGGAATCGGTACCCCTAATGGGGAATTGGTTCCCTAAGTGTAAAATTCAAATATTTCGACCATTCAACAGTGGGGGGAATCGGTACCCCCTGGGGGGAATCAGTTCCCTCCGAGCATACTGGAATTCTCGGAGCCAAACCATTCAGGGGGAATCGGTACCCCCTTGGGGGGGAATCGGTTCCCTCTGAGTAATCTGGAAATTTTGGCTTTGAGATGGTTCGAAATATTTTGTGAAATTGTTTTGAAATTATTTTAAGACTAAAACTTAATTTTACACTTGAGTAAGGATTAAAAATGACATTTGAAAGATTTGGAATAATATTTTGATATTCGAATAATTATATCGAATATACTTAGAAAATCTTTTTGGAAAATCTTAAAATTCATTTAATTTAATTTGTTATATCGAAATATCAAAATGTATTCAACAATCTCTCCCTTTTTGATATAACAAAACATTTTGGTAATTTTAAGATTTTGAAATCAAGTTTTGAAATTACTCTCCCTTACTCTAACACTACTCCTCTTTAAAACACTTTTAACATTTCTCCCCCTTTTTGTTAAATCAAAAAGACTTTTAAAAGATATTAAACAAGGTTTTGAAATCATTCAGCCAGCTGATTATATATATAGTTTAAGCTGCTAAGATACAATCAAGAGAAACGTTAGCCATTAGTTTCATAATCAATATTCATAAACAATGTGACATGGTAAAACTGGTCATATATCTAACATGATGTAAATGATGCAATAATGAAGAAATTTAACCACACCAAATATATAAGTTCAAATATCCATAATCCATCAAATAAGTTCAAATATCTAACAATAAAAAGAAAACAATCCAAAAACATTCAAAATGTTTAAACAATAAGCTTTAAGTTCAAAGTACTAAAGCAAAACACAGAATCAAGCATCCGTAAGAGGATCGGGAGGAGGAAAACGAACTCGCATAGCGGCCATCTCATGAGTGAGTTCATTAATACGAGCGTTGGTTGCTTCATTGTTTGCACACATCTCCTGGAGAATTTCCAATTGTTGAGCTCCCATTGTGGATAAGTGAGACTCTATAGAAGTAAAGCGCGAATCTATGGTAGCATATCAGAAATCGAATGTCTCCATAAAAGATTGAAAATATGGAGGCATTTGATTCGTTTTTTGTGCTTGCTCCTCGGGCTGCTCAGGCTCATCTTCGGCTTCATCGATGTCTCGCATTAATTGTTCAAGCTCGGGATCGTCGTCAGCTTCTGGTGGAGCTCGTGAAGAACTGGCTCCCGGAGTATTTTTAGAAGATCGAACCCATTCACCGGTTTCCTTATCCTTTATCCATCCCGCTCTCGTTAAGGAAAAAAATATTAATTTGTTTCTTTAGAGGAAAGACGGCATCTAGACCTACTCTAAGCCCGACTTTAGAAAAAAGATTACTCAGAATGCAACCGTAAACTAGAGATGAACAG